GGGAAAAAAAAAAGGAGCCAGAGTGCCGCCCCTTGGGGAGTGCCGCCCCAAGCACATGCTTGGAGGGCTGGTGCCTAGAGCCAGCCCTGCTTGTTCCTCTTCTCTGGACCCTCTCCAATTTCTCCACATCTTTCTTAAAATGCGGTGCCCAGAACTGGACACAATACTCCAGCTGAGGCCTAACCAGAGCAGAGTAGAGCAGAAGAATGACTTCTCCTGTCTTGCTCACAACACACCTGTTAATACATTCCAGAATCATGTTTGCTTTTTTTGCAACAGCATCACACTGTTGACTCATATTTAGCTTGTGGTCCACTATAACCCCTAGATCCCCTTCTGCCGTACTCCTTCCTAGACAGTCTCTTCCCATTCTGTATGTGTGAAACTGATTTTTCCTTCCTAAGTGGAGCACTTTGCATTAGTCTTTGTTAAACTTCATCCTGTTTAACTCAGACCATTTCTCCAATTTGTCCAGATCATTTTGAATTATGACCCTGTCCTCCAAAGCAGTTGCAATCCCTCCCAGTTTGGTATCATCTGCAAACGTAATAAGCGTACTTTCTATGCCAATATCTAAGTCGTTAATGAAGATATTGAACAGAGCCGGTCCCAAAACTGACCCCTGCGGAACCCCACTTGTTATGCCTTTCCAGCAGGATTGGGAACCATTAATAACAACTCTCTGAGTACGGTTATCCAGCCAGTTATGCACCCACCTTATAGTAGCCCCATCTAAATTGTATTTGCCTAGTTTATCGATAAGAATATCATGCGAGACCGTATCAAATGCCTTACTAAAGTCTAGGTATACCACATCCACAGCTTCTCCCTTATCCACAAGACTCATTATCCTAATCAAAGAGAGCTATCAGATTGGTTTGACACGATTTGCTCTTTACAAATCCATGCTGGCTATTCCCTATTACCTTACCACCTTCCAAGTGTTTGCAGATGATTTCCTTCATTACTTGCTCCATTATCTTCCCTGGCACAGAAGTTAAACTAACTGGTCTGTAGTTTCCTGGGTTGTTTTTATTTCCCTTTTTATAGGTGGGCACTATATTTGCCCTTTTCCAGTCTTCTGGAATCTCTCCCGTCTCCCATGATTTTCCAAAGATAATAGCTAGAGGCTCAGATACCTCCTCTATCAGCTCCTTGAGTATTCTAGCTTTCTGCTGTATCTTCTCTTCCAGCTGGTAAATATTCATATCTCCTGTTGTACTTACTGTTTAACATTTCTAAGGGTGGCAGAGTCTCACAAACTTGAGTACGATCAGTGAATTTCACGGAGGTGATGTTTACTCTCTCAAACCCTTACAGCAACACACCAGAAACTTCCTTCCAGCTTAATCCTTTGTATTTATCATAACTATTTGTATAAACCCTTCAGTGAACATAAACCTACGCCAATCTGAACAATTTGTACAATTGGGCTGGCAAATTTTGTTTGTTATAGATCTGTGCTGCTAACATCAATCATTTAATTGTACTCTAGATAGTGATTCTTTTTAAAGGCATAGACCATAGTGTTAATAAAAAAAATTGTTTAAATAAATAGATTGGGCTACTTTTGGGCTAGTTTTTAAGTGAGTGTGGACTATTGATGCAGTAGAAAATAGCCATAGGAATCATAGTTAAAGATGCCCCCAGCCACCCAGCACCAAAATCTGAAATGGTGCCCCTGAAGGCTAAGCACATTGAAGATTGTGAGGTGCCCAGATAGAGCAGTGATGGGGGACAGAAAGGTATCTGCAATGATAAGAAGTGAGGCGGTTCCCTTTCCACACCAAATCACAAGGGTGTTTCACAAATTCTCTTAATGTCATCTGGATTCTTCCAATATCTTTTGGTTTTGTTAAAGCCCCAGCTCCTGGAATCCTGTGAATATAGGAGAAACACACACTCTCTCTCTCTCTCTCTTTATTTTTTATACAAGTTTCTTGCTGGAGAAGCTTAGAAGTTTGAAAGGCTGATTGGGGGAAGCAGCCTCAGCTGGGGCCACGCCCCAATTAAGTCACAGCTGGCCCTATAAAGGGGCTGCTAGGCTGGAGCTAGGTCAGTCACTCTCTAGTTGTTGATTGGTGGAGAATGCGGGCATAGGCAGTCCGCCCCCAATACAAGGGACAGGGCAAGGACAGCAGGACGATTGCCCAGAGACATGAGAGCTACAGGGGATGATGGATCCTGGAATCACCGGGGTTGTCTATGCAGAGACCCCAGGTGCCATCCCTGGCTGGGCCCCAGTATCAGCACCCCGGCAGAAGGGGGCTGATGACCTGCAGGGGATCCAGGAGACCCAGAAGGGACTATGGGAGGTGCAGAAGGCCCTCTATGAACAGTTGGGCCAGCTGGCAAGGGAACAGCGGGACCTGGTAAAACTCCTCCAACAGGAGTTTTGAAGGAACCACCGCGACTGGTGGGAGAAGCACAGCGCTGGGAACAGGAGGCCTTGGGGAGAGCGCCGGGCATGTTACACCTGTGGGCAGTGCAGACATGTACGGGCAAATTGTCCCTGCTGGGATGCGGGCAGGGAGTCTCACCCAGGACAGGGGGAGGGACAAGCCCCTACAAGAAGCCCCCTGGCAAGGGAAGCCAGGAGGCGAAGAAGGTATTGGGGCTGTAGGTGGTGGGGTCACCTATGGAAGGAGTGCCCTGCCCCAAGGACCACGGTCCAGGGCAGCCCAGGGAGAAGCCGGAGCCCAAGGCAGCAAAGGGGCGGCAAGCCTGCTTTGGCTGCCGGGAATGGGGCCACATAAAGAGGGATTGCCCCCTAGGAGGAGGGAAACCTCTGGTGGAGGGGCCTGAGGACCCAAAGGGGTCAGGGACCAGCCAAGTAGCTGCTGCAGGGAGCCACCCATGGGGGAAGGCGGACCAGGAAACCCAGACAGACTGGGCCCTGCAGGAGGCCAGGACCCAGGTGGGAGTACAGCAGGTAGCAGTGGGAACGCAGACCCTGAAGAAAGAGGGCGTGGGGGACCCTGACCTGCGGGCGTGGCTGGCAGCCATGGAGGTGGCCCGCCAGAAGGCAGAGGCTCAGACCCAGGAGATGGCCCAACGCTGGGAGGCCTCAGAGATGAGGCAGGAGGCCCTGGAGGGACGGCCCTGGAAGGGCAGCTCTGAGGAACAAAAACCGAGGGTCCCCCCAACCAGAGGGGTGGGGATTGGGGGGGGTGTAGTGGGGTGGTCACCCCGCTCCTGCCCGGAGCGGTTAAAAGCAGCCCTGGAGATGGCTTTGGCTGGGGAAAGGCTGATTGGGGGAAGCAGCCTCAGCTGGGGCTACGCCTCAATCAGGCCACAGCTGGCCCTATAAAGGTGCTGCTAAGCTGGCGCTAGGTCAGTCGCTCTCTAGTTGTTGAGAGGGACAGGACTGGCTGCTGGGAACTGAGCGGGGTACCTAGAGTGGACCAGGGCTGGGGGAAGGCCAGAGGAGCTGGGGAGCTCCAGCCTGAAAAACCCCCAGGCTGCAGGCCTTGTTAAAGGCCAAAAAAGGTACTGGGGTTGCAGAGGGCAACCCAAGGGTAGGCAAAGGCAGCAGGTCCAAACCCTCCTTGCCGATGATGAGTGGCTGATACTGCAGTCTGCCCCAGTGGGCGGGGGCTAGATGGTGACTGGCAGTAGCCAAAGACTGAGGCGAGGTGGGGATACGGGGTTGAGGGTTCCCCAGGGAGGGGAGACCCAGGGAGACTGTGGGGTCAGGGGCAGAACCCTGAGAAAAGGGGCATGGAGTCTGGAAGGGGGGGCACCAGAGCCAGAGACAGGTGAGACACCGGCCTGCAGAGGGCACGCCTGAGTGGAAAGAGCTAATTCCCTGGACGACCAGCAGGAGGAGCTGCTGGGTGAGTCGTTGCCTTGCTACAGGGCCCCACAGGCAAGCTAGGCTTTCCTCTGACAACCTTCTGATTGAGGATCCTTCTGGGGTTTAGGTGTGAGGCAGGTGTCTGGATGACTAGAGTGAGGCAGCAGTGCCCAGGCCCAGAAGCAGAAATTTAGGAACCTTGGGAAATTTTACTATAGAAATGTTGGTGCTGAGTGAGCAGCCAGGCCGAGGTTTTCTGGATTTCAGTGGCACCTAATTCTGGGAGTCAGGTGTCTAAACCTGGGCTTTAGGCACCTAAGTCCAATTGCAGCTCTGAGTCGTTAATGCAAAACGAAGGAGACTGGCAGTGGGAGAAACTAAATTCTACTTTATTATTCCAAAGGATGAACAAAGACAGACTCCGTGCCCCACCCACAGCCCAGCGGGTACTTTTCTGTTCCATCCCAGCACAATGCCGCGTCCAACTCCCACAAGAACCAACAGCAGTGCAACACATATAAATGGTAGAACAGTGGTGAGAAGCCATGAGAGATGCTGGGAGCCCGTCACAAAAGGAAACACCCCGAGAGCAGGGAATCCAAAGAGCTCAGGTTAGAGGGATGAGTGTGGGGTGAGTGGGGCAGAGACAGTCTCTCTCGTCCCCACACAGGACACTGCGGTAGATGGGGAGGGGTGACCAGGTGGGCTGTCTCCCTCTGGCCTCAGTGATGGGGGTCAGCCTGGTTCCAAGGCTGCCCAGGTCTGTTGAGATCCCCGGCTCCCTTCTTATCATCCAACCTCGGCATCTCAGCAATAGGGGGACACTGCCCCCTCCCCCTATCATTTTTGGGGTATCATTCATGGTCCTTTAGATTGCAGGGGAAGCGTCACACGACACTCACAGGCCAAGGCTAGTCGCTCTCTGGCTCTGAAGCAGCGAGTTCACAGTTCTCAGCCATCTGGCTCTGAAGAGCAAAGCCAGCCATTTCCCAGCTCGGTTCTCCTCGCCTCCCACCCTCTCCTCCTCCTGACTCTGGGGCTTGATCTGCGCATGCAACCTGCATCAGTTGTGAAATTCCACCCCCCTCCTCAAGCGGCGCAGCTGTATCAACCTAACTTCTGGTGTTGACAGCACTATGGCAACAGGAGGGCTTTTCCCATGGACGTAGCTCCCGTCTCTTGGGGAGATGGAGTACGGACGCCAATGGGAGAACCCCTCTCATTGGTCTATGTAGCGTCCCCCTCGAAGCGCTACTGCGCCATCAGTGCAGCTCGGCTGCAGCAGCCTTTGAAGGGTAGATAAGCCCTAAGTCACATCACTGCAGGGATCAGGCAGTGATTTCATTCCTCATTTCCATCTCTGCCTCTCCGAGTGTGACTCGAGCTCACACCCTCAGTGTATGTGCTGAGACATACTGACCTTTGCCATTGTTCAAATAAAACTAAATCCACATCACAAAAGGGTAGAAAAAGGTTAAAATAAAATAAAAAAGGACTATACTGGCCAATGATCATTTGTCTCATTAAGTCCTCAATAAATCTAAGCTACATCTAAACTAAACTAATATCTAAGTTTGTGACCAAACAGCCTTCTGGAATAGAGAAAAACCCACACTCCAGGGTGGACTATAAAACAGTTTTACATTCATAAAGTGAAAGAGAATCTGAAGACTCAAAATCAGGAAAATAAATTTTTGTCTAAAGTGGCCAAACTGGCTTCACTTCTTGTCTAATAATTTAGTTGTATTAGTTACAAAAGTTTTAGCATCATCATAATAAAAGAAATTAAAAAAAATGAACAAACAAAAAAACCCTTCCCATCTACAAATGATCTGGACTAGCACAGAAAAAACCTGGAAGCAATTTCACCAATAGATGGAAACAGATCAGGAAGGTCAAACTGTACTTTGAGGTTCTTTGGGATTCCTCCCTTCCCCTCCCTTGCAAGTCTGTGACGATTTCTTCTCCAGCCCTCAGAAGTCTCATGGAGGATCATAGAAATCAAAACGGATTCTTAAGCATGGAGAGACAGGGACATGGTGGTAAGTGCGGGAGGGGTAGAACGGGGACAGGATAAAACTCTCCATTGCTGGGACGGAGGCTGCTGTGTCAAGAGTGGAGCGTGACAGTGATGGGGGAAGGAGGGAATCCCTCAGACTCACTGTCCCTGCTCCCCACTTTTTTAGCATCTGTTTAGCTCTGCTCCCTCAGGGAGAATAATATACAAACATTCAATGCTTTTCAGCACGGCCTGGAGTAATGTGAGTCTATCTGGGAATGAGACAATCTGGCCCCAAAGGGGGAACTCCGGGACTAACGATCACTCTGCTCATGGAGAGGAACGGAATAGCTAATATACTTAGGGTCAGTGTGACTAGAAAGAGTGTTGGAGAGTCTGGGAAGATGTGCTAGCTAATCCCAACCATTTCCTACCATAGACAGATGTTCAGAAGCTGATGCTGCGGAGGCAGAGGTGGGATCTCCAGGCCTCCCACAAAAGGCCCTGTGGGAATCAGCCCCTCTCAGCAGTGCTGTCTGAATGCACAGAGGGCAGGGAGAAGGGGCAGAGGGGGTGAGTGAGGAGAGGCGGCACCTCTCTACCCCTGTGCTCTCCCTCACCTCTGATCCCATGATGTCCAAACACTCGATAGCCCCAGCAACCAGCTCCTCCTGCTTTTCAGCTCCCCCAGCCCCAACCATTCAATCCCCAGTTTCCTCTCCATAACCAATGGGTTATGGGGAGGTCCCTTAACGTTTGATCCTGAGGGATTTGGGGAGGGGAGGGGTTACCAACCCCCCAGGGACACTCCCCCTGCAGAGAACAGCTCCAGGTAAGTGGGGGAGCCCAGCCCAGGGGCTGGTGGAAGATGGGGGGTGGGGACAGGTGTCTAGAGTGAAGGTGGGGCGTGGACCAAGTGTCCTCCTCCTCATCTCTATGGCAGGGGGAGCCCGGCTGGGAGGGGAAGGGAGAGGGGGGAACTTCAGCCAGGCAGAGGGAGTGTCTGGAGGAGTTTGTCTCTCTCCCTTCCCCCACCTGCGGCCCATCAGCTCAGCAGCCAGGGCTGCAGCAGGGAGGAGGGGCTGATCGGTGCTTCTCCTCTTCTGCCTGGGGTTTGCTTAGACCAGGCAGAGCCAGAGGGTCAGTGACCAGTTGATGATCAGCTGCTGCTGTATCTTCACCCCAGCAACGGGCAGATGGATCCTTGGGAGACAAATGCAACTGATGTGTGTGGGAATGAGGAAACGGGTTGGTCACCATGGCCAGCCCTAGTCAGGGCCCTGAGAGAATTTCTGTGCTTTGTGGATTCTCTGATGTTTAATGAGGTGTGATCGCTGAATGAAGCTTTCTCCACAGGCAAGGCATTTATGAAGTTTAGATCCTGTGTGGATTATCCCATGTTTAATGAGGTTTGATCTCTGTGTGAAACTTTTCCCACAGTCCAAGCACTTATGGGGTCTTTCTCCAGTGTGGGTTACCTGATGTGTTATCAGACATGATCTTTGTGTGAAACTTTTCTCACACTCCAAGCACTTATGGGGCCTCTCTCCTGTGTGGATTTTCTGATGTAAAACAAGGGCTGATCTGTTTGTGAAACTTTTCCCACAGTCCAAGCACTTATGGGGTCTTTCTCCTGTGTGGATCCTCTGATGTGTTATAAGGGCAGACTTCCACCTGAAACATTTCCCACAGTTGAGGCATTTCTGAGGTTTGTCTCCAGTGTGAATTCTGTGATGTGCAACAAGATGAGAACTCCCAATGAAACTTTTCCCACACTCGAGGCATTTATAGGGTCTTTCTCCCGTGTGGGTTCTCTGATGTTGAGTGAGTTGTGAGCTGCATCTAAAGCTTTTCCCACAGTCCAAGCACTTATGAGGTCTCTCTCCTGTGTGGATTCGCTGATGTGTGATAAGATCGGACTTCCAACTGAAGGAGTTCCCACACTCGAGGCATTTATAGGGTCTCTCTCCTGTGTGTATTCTCTGATGCCTTGTAAGGGTTGATCTCTGTATGAAATTTTTCCCACAGTCCAAGCACTTATGGGGTCTCTCCCCTGTGTGGATTCTCTGATGTGTTATAAGGTCTGACTTCCAACTGAAACTTTTCCCACACTCCAAGCATTTATAGCGTCCCTCTCCTGTGTGGACTGTCTGATGTGTAACAAGTGCTGATCTCTGTGTGAAACTTTTCCCACACTCCAAGCACTTATGGGGTCTCTCCCCTGTGTGGATTCTCTGATGTATTATGAGGGCTGACTTCCAACGGAAACCATTCCCACAGTAGAGGCATTTATGGGGTCTCTCTCCTCTGTGGATTCTCCGATGGTTAGTAAGGTTTGTGCTGTTACTGAAGCTTTTCCCACACACCAAGCATTTATAAGCTCTCTCTCCTGTGTGGACTGTCTGATGTCTAATAAGGTGTGATCTCTGCATGAAACTTTTCCCACAGTCTGAGCACTTATGGGGTCTTTCTCCTGTGTGGATTGCCTGATGTGTAACAAGGCCTGATCTCCATGTGAAACTTTTCCCACAGTCCAAGCACTTATGGGGTCTCTCTCCGGTGTGGATTGCCTGATGTGTAACAAGACCTGATCGCCGTGTGAAACCTTTCCCACAGTCCAAGCACTTATGGGGTCTCCCTCCTGTGTGGATTCTCTGATGCATAATTAGTGCTGACTCCCCACTGAAACGTTTCCCGCACTCGAGGCATTGATAGGGATTCTCACCCGTGTGGCTTCTCCCATGGTTATTAAGATCTGAGTGGTTATTGAAGCTTTCCATACAGTGCAAGTATTGAAGGGGTTTCTCTCCAGTATGGATTATCTGATGTATCACAAGGTGTGATCTCAGAATGAATCCTTTCCCACACTGGAGACAGTTGTAGGGTTTCTCTTCCTTGGGATTTGTCTGCTGGACTGTGGGATCCTTGTCTCCTCCCCCACATTTAATAGATTCGTCTACTTTCTTCCTTGGGTGGTTTCCCAGGAGCTTCTCTGACCTGTGCCAATTTCCCCAGGCTTCTTCCCAGCACTGGGAAAAATTCCCTTCAGCTCTTCCCACAAAGGGCCCTTGTGGTTCCACTTCCCCAGAAACTTCTTCATGATGATTCCCCTCCTCGTTCTCACTCACTCTCTCATCACCTGCTGGGAGAGAGAGACAATCCAGACAGGAGTCATTGTGCTGTGGAGAAAGAGAATTGGCACCAAGGGAAAACCCAACACACGCAAGTTGTGAAGAATCAGCAATTGGATTCTGCCTCCATTTCCCACCCAAACATGCACACAGAAGGAAAGTTGGGAAGGGAACTCCTGCAGCTAACAGGATGGGTGGAAAGATGTGAGCAATATCTGCTGACTACAGCCCTACTCTGGCTGAGATGAAGAACAACTGACGGCTCTCTCACACACCACATTTCTGGGATTCTCAACTTTTTCCTTCATTCGTCCGATGGTTTCTTTCAGTCCTCACCTGTGCAAGTGCCCCTTGGGATCTCTTTTTCCTCTGAGGCCTGGAGATCTGGGACCCACGGCGCTTCCCCTCGTTCCAGCCGGGCGATCAGGTCAGGTTTGGGAAGGGGGAATCCTGTGCAGGGGGGGGGAATCAGACCAGATCAGGGTGAATGGAAGATTGGGAGTTTGTCTGTCACAAAGGACAATCCGTGAGTTGAACCTATCCCGGTGCTGTGCTGGGAGAACGTGGAATCCAAAGGGATGGGAACATGGTCACTGAGCTTCCTTGGGAGAGGCAGATGTCTGGGGAGGTGGAGATAATTTTTACGCCCTCACTAGCAGTTCCCAGGATCTCTGCACTTTGGGGGCCTTGCTGACGCACACACAGCTCTGAAGTTACCCCTGCAGAGCCCAGAACCCTCCCCAGGGCTGGAGCTAGTCCTAAGGAGGGAGGTGAAAAGGGATTCTGTGCTCAAATGAGAAACAATACACACAGGACAATACACGGCTTCTCGGCCTTGATAGCTGGAGGAGTGGGGAGGGTTTAGCATGTCCGTTTTGACACTCTGGTCCCATTGAAGGGGGTTTGGAGATGCAAGTCTCTCTCACACGGCAGCTATGGATTATGGAACCCATTCCCCTCCAATCTAACTGACCAGGGAAGAACCTGACCAGAGTTAGAAATGCAGGTCCTACACTTTCTAATAACCAAGGGGACAGGGATCCCTTACCCAGCGAGGTCACCGTCTCATAGTTCTCCCGCATGACATCCCTGTAGAGGGCTCTCTGACCGGGGTCCAGCAGAGCCCCCTGCCCCTGGGTGAAATACACAGCCACCTCCTCGAAGGTCACCGGCATCTGAAACAACAAGAGTCCCCCACTCAGCACCTGCTGCCCCAGCCACAATCCCACTGGTCACACGGGAAAGGAAGAAGAAAAATAAACATCTTGGAAGCTCTGGGAGGCTCAGAAAAGCAGAATCCCACCCCCACCCTGCTCAGAGCAGCCAGGAGGCTTCAGGGGGTGGGGAGAAGGTCAGAGCTCCTTGTCCCCCCAGCACACGGAGCAGAGCAGGGTCTTCTCATTTCCCACACACCTGCCAGCCACAGGCTGATACGGGAAGCAAAGCTCTGAGCCGGGGACAGGGACAGAAATCTCAACAGCTTCCCTTCATTTTTCACAGCAGCCCCTGGCTAGTGGGTTCAGGCTCCCGCACTGGGAGTCTGGAAAATGTTCCCAGGCCTGCCGAGGGGGGTGTTTCCTGTTTCAGAAATGTGGGAATGTTTCCCCGCTGCCAATGGGCCAGCTCCGAAAATCAGCAGGTTTATCACACTCTGTCTCCTCCCTGCCTCTCCCTCCACCCGCCCAGCAGCTCCCTCAAAAATCCCCTACCTGAGCTGGCTCCATCACAGCCATTTCCCTGCCCTGTCTTCTGGAAGACGAGTCAATCTGGAGCGAAATGTGGATGTGATTCCTCAGCCTGTTGGGGCAAGAAGGGCAATGGGGGTGTGTGTGTGTTCAGAAGGGGCTTGAGTCCATGTGACACCCCGCTTCCCCCCAGGCTCTCTCCCTGCAGATAGAGGCTCTGGACTCTGCCACGCTGGGAAGAAACCCAGTTAGTTTATTACCACCCAGGCCAGGCCCGTCCCAGCAGAACTAAACCCACCCAGGGCAGTTTTAAACTCTCCCCGTAACAGCATCTCGGTGCCAAACTCTAGAAAAAGAGCAGAATCAAAGGAGTCACTTTGGGGGATTGCCCTGCAGTGTAGTGCAGTCGTCACCAACCGGTGGATCCTGGAGCCTCTAAGAGTCAGTCGTGATCACTGGCCACTAAATGTCCGGCAGTGCAGCGGGGCTAAGACAGGTTTCCTGCCTACCCTGGCCCTGTGCCACTCCTGGAAGCGGCCAGCAAGTCTCTGCCACGCAGCCCCTGGGGAGGGCGGGGCGGGAGGGACAGGGGGTCTTAGCTCGCTGCTCCTGTCTGCAGGCACCATCCACGCAGCTCCCATTGGCCGGGAACGGGGAACTGCGGCCAATGGATGCTGCAGGGGTGGTGCCTGCAGAGAAGGGCAGGGCGCAGAGCTACGCCGCCCCCCCCCCCCCCCCCGCCTCCCGCCCCCCCCCCGGGGGGGGCCCGGCGGGGGGGGGGGGGGGGGGGGCCCCCCCCCCCCCCCCCCCCCGGGACATGTCGGCCGCTTCCAGGAGCGGCATGGGGCCAGGGTAGGCAGGGAGTCAGCCTTAGCCCTTCTGCACTGCCGCCCGAGGTAAGCGCCACCCAGCTGGAGCCTGCACCCCGCACCAACTCCCACACCCCAACCCCAGCCCTGAGCCCCCTCCTGCACCCAAACTCCAGCCCAGAGCTTGCACCCCTCACACCCTTCTGCACCCCAACCCCCTGCCCCAGCTCAGCCAAGAGCCCCCTCCCATACCCCAAACCCCTCAGCCCCAGCCCAGAGCCCACACCCCCTCCAGCACCCCAACCCCCTGCCCCAGCCCAGTGAAAGTGAGTGAGGGTGCGGGAGAGCATGGGACGGGGGGGTGGAGTGAGTGGGGCAGGGCCTCAGGGAAGGGGCAGGGTAGATCCTGGGTTGCACTTAAATTCAAAAGGTGATCTTGTGTGTAAAAAGGTTGGAGACCACTGGTGTAGTGTAACCCTCTCTAGCCCCCCCCCCCGCCCCCCCAGACACACAAAAATTCCCACAGGAGTAGAGAGTTAAAGAAACCCCTATGACAACCCAGTTTCTGTTTCTCTGCCCCCTTCCCATCCTCCCCAGGGCCCAGCCAGGGGGCCAGACCCCCACAATCTCTGCCCTTCAGAGCCCAGCCATGCTTGCCCCAGCCAGTATATCTGCACCCCCTTCCCCCCAGAGACCAGGCACAGGGCCCCTCCTTGCCCAGATACCTGCACCCCCACACCCCCAAAGCCCAGCCACAGGGCTCCCCTTGCCCAGATACCAGCCTCCAGCCCCCAAACCTCAGAGCCCAGGGATCCCTCCCCCCAGCAGTGTCGTCTATGGGTACGTCTTCACCACCCGCCGTATCGGCGGGTAGCAATCGATTTATCCGGGATCGATATATCGCGTCTCGTTACGACGCGATATATCGATCCCCGAACGCGCTCACCGTCGACTCCAGAACTCCACCAGAGCGAGCGGCGGTAGCACAGTCGATGGGGGAGCCGCGGCCATCGATCCCGCGCCGTCTGGACCCCAGGTAATTCGATCCAAGATACTTCGACTTCAGCTACGCTATTCGCATAGCTGAAGTTGCGTATCTTGGATCGATCCCCCCCCTAGTGTAGACCAGCCCTATGTGTGAGCTGGGAACTGCTGGGTCCAGCAGCCCCTAGTGGCAGCTAGCAGCATTTCAGCCCATTTCTGTGGAGGAAAGGACATTCTGCGTGCACAACATTTAATTTCTGCAAAATTCTGCATCGCGCAGTGGCACAGAATTCCCCCAGGAGTAAAGTTTACATTCAGAAAAGGGGGAGATTTGGGGGCATAGGTGAAAAGAAGGGGCCAAAACCCAGGGAAGGGCTAGCAGTGGTATAGAGAGGTTCCCACACTGCCTGTGGTATTTATGTGGCCCCGTCACCAGTGTCTTAGTGCTTCACAAGGTCTAACCTCCTCAAGCCCCTCAGTGAGGTAGAGCAGTGCTGTTATCCCCATTGTACGGATGGGACACTGAGGCACACACAGACTAAAGGCCAGATTTTGAACAGTGTTTAGGCAGCTAGTGGGATTTTCTAGAGTGCCTAGAAGGTTAGATGTTTTGTAAACCTCACTAGATGCCTAGCTGCACCTTTGGGTGCCTAAAAACCTTTGAAATTCAGTCCCTAAGGCACTGGCCTGATGTCATACAGGAAGTGCATGGGGGGTAGAATCCAGGTCTCTCGGGGCCAGCTCCCTATCCACTGCACCTATCTGCTGCATGCTGCAGAAAAAGAGGACTCCGAGATGGGAGCAAAATATGGCAGCCGGTTCTCTGAGACTCCAGCAAATGGTCCTAGGCGGTTGGGAAGGACATCCTGGTTGACAGCATGCAAAGAAGCGGAGAGGTCAGGAAGGATGAAGAGAGAAAGAGAGAGGAGAGACAATCACTGAGCCCCAAAGGGGTGGCAGGGTCTGCCCCAGGCTGGGCTGTAGAGCAATGGCTGCTGTGCATTTTTACATTTTAACTGAAAACCATTTTGTTTTGTCATTTTCTGTTCTGCGTTGGCGAAAAGGAAGGAAAGAGAAAGTGTCGTAGGAGTATCCGGTGTGTTCCTGCCTCAAATTCTTAGGGTTGCAGCTGGATCCAGGCCAATTCCAGAGCAAAGAACCGAAATTGCATCCTCAGAGTCCATAAAGTCGACGACTGTCATGATTTGTATTATTCACTGGGCATCCATCTGTGTACTCAGCACAGTTCAGAATATACCAGTAAATACAGTCTCTGAGCCAATGTGTATAAAATGTGTAGCCCTGGATAAGATGACTCTGCTATTTAAGTATGAAGTGCATAGTTACTCAGCACATCTATGGGTGGAGGTGCTGCTTTACTGGATTAAGGACTAGATTTGACTTTCCAACTTTCTTTCAAGTGGAAGAGCTGCCCAGAGCTCCTGGGCCTGTTTATTTTCCTTTCCTGCCTGCAGTGGCCTTGATACACCTCAGAAGTCTCATTTTTTCCCCTCAACTTTGAAATCTGGAATTTTCTTGGTGTTTGGTTTTAAATATTCTCCTGTGAGAACTGCAACTCAATCACTGTAGTGTTGTGTTGAAGAGCCTTCTAGAAAGTAACTAGCCTTTAACCAAAGTGAAAGCAGCATGGCCAGTTCTCATGATTTTGTCATGAGCCTCAGGAGAATGATTGTTTTCCTTAAAGCCCCAGCTTCTGGAGTTAAGTGGAAATGTGATGATTTCAGCCTTCCTTCTTAAAGAAAAATGAAGTTTCTAGCCCTAATGGCTGTGGAGAAAGTTTCAAAAAGAGACACCCCCCCCCCATGCACCCTAAAGGCTCAAATAGCAGAAGGCAAATAAAAAACACCAAATCTATTATTTGTACACAACCTCACAATTTTAAAGCCAATCTCACAATTTTTGAACATTGGGGGTTGACAATACTGTGAAAGTGACTTAAAAGTGTCAGTTTCACGCTGTTTAGAGTCAGTTTCTAGTTATTATTTGTAGTGGAGTAACACCCCCAGAGCCCCAGGCACGTGCAGTATAAACTCATAGGGTCTTGCCCTAGGAGGATATTTCCAAAAGTTAAAGGATCTATTCCAGCCCTGGTGAATTGCAAAAAAAGTGATAGGAAGTAATCTAGATTTTTCTACAATTGTTTCAATTGTTGTATTCAAGAGTTACTAAAAAACTCAGAATAGACATTAAAATTCCAAAACCTACCCCGTTTCCCTTAGGTGACTTGGCACAACATGAGAACATGTTAGTATTAGAGCTGAGTGGGTCTAATATTTATTTACTTCTCTTTTTTTAATGTAAGAATTGGATATGGTGTGGCTGTCAGCTAATTTCTAAGTTATTGTCTGCAAAAAAAAAACCTAGAGTTTTCAGGTGCCTAAGTAGCCCCTGGAATCACAGTTAAAGTTGCTCCCCCCACCAAAAATCAGAAATGGCTCCCGTGTGAGAGGTTAGTCCCCTGCCCACTCACTCTCCAGTGCTTGTTTGACCAGATCCAGAGGGAAAAAATTTCCAGCTGCCTTGTATCTCTCTCCACCCCCCTGCCTTCTCCCTGCCCCCGGCTCTCCCTTCCCCAGCCAGTCTGCATTTGCTCTCAGTCTCCCTCCAGCCACCCTATACCCCCTCTTTCCCCTGCATCGCCCCATCATCCCTGCCCCCTCCCCCATCCCATCCTGCCCCCTGCATCCCCATTACCCGCCTCCTGCCCCCCCATCTCTGTTCTCCGTCCTGCCCATACATCCCCCTAAGTCTCTGTATCCTCCTCCTCCCGCAGCCCGGGTGGAAAGGGCCTGGGGGGGCACCTTTCCTTAGGGTCTCTCTTACCTTCCCTCCAAGCGGGGCCGGGCCGGGAAGGGGCCCTGGCCAGGCTGGGGGCTCTGCCCTGGGAGAGGCTCCTGGGGAGCAGCGGGAAGGGCCCTGCTGGAGATTCCCCTGTCCCGGCTGCAGCCAGGGCTCCGGGCTCCCAGCACCAGCCGCCGGGGCTCGGGGATCTCGCTGGGAACCAGAGTCACCGCAGCGGTTACGAGTCACTTCCTGCTGCCGGGACTGACCCCAGCGATGGCTCCCCCCAGAGCCGCCTCCCAGCTGCTCCTGGGTCCTAGCGATCACCCCATCGCGCTGCAGCGTTACTGGTCACAGGCTACATTAGCACTGCTGAAAAAAGGTGGCGTTGTCTGGACTGGGTGAGCCAGACTTGTAGGTGACAGAAGGCAAAAGGAGAGAAGTAAAGTGGGGAAGGAAAATGATGCGTGAGGGGAAGGGTGACAGCAGACCCCCCAAGTCTCACATCCCAGGGGGAGTTCAGGATTTAGCCAAAGCCAGTGGAGTTGAGGAGGTCGGCTGATTCCCCCTCTCTGGTTAGCTCTGCTCAGGTCGTCTTTCAGGATCAGGATGATGAGAGCCCGATAGTGCCATGCTGGGTCCTAGGAGACAGTGGGTGTGAGACATACCCCAGGGTACAATCTGGACTGTTGAACTGCTGAATTCTCCATCCCAGGGTATCTTTCACACTGCTTCCCTGTGTGAACAACAAACCTATCCAGGCTCTGATCCCACACAGCCACTAGCATGCAAAGTCACTCCCGGCTATACAGTACTGAGTGCCACTAGCCAGTGGCTCATGAAATAAACTACAGAGTAACATAAATCAGTTCGCTAGTCCCGGCCTTGCACCCCAGAAATGTGAGCCTTGTATTGCCCAGTTCGTTCACTGTGCAGTACAAGCTCATTAATTAGTCATCCCCACAAAGGATGCTGATCAGGCAACAGCCTTGTTATCCCAAGTGAAATTCCCCAAACACGTCCATGAAAACACACCGGTTGGGATAAAACAATAAAACAAGCTTACTAACTAGAGAAAGGTAAATTTTAAGTGGTTACAAGTGATAAAGGTATAAAAGGTCTGATTTGGTTACAACAAAAATAAATGGTCAACATGCATTTTAAATCCTACATTTTATCAACCTAAGTAAGATGCGAAGCCAACAGGTTTTCTCACCCCACTCAATGTTGCAGGCAGTTCTCAGTTCTTAGTACCCAAGCTGGATTTCCTTCCAGCCTTGGTCCGCCCTCCCCAGTCCACTGCTCCTGTTGTCTTTCAAGCCATCTTGTTGCCTTCCAAAAAGATGGAGGAGAAGAGGTAAAAATGGAGGCAATTCTCCCTTGTGTTTTTATACCACTCTCCTCTTTGAGGTTTACCACCACCCCCCCAGCTGGGGGGCAGTCAGCAGACAATGACTTTTCATATGATACCTCACAAGGCATACTTTGGACAAGATTTATCATCGTTTTGTAAAAGTGGTGACCATAACAGTGTAGAACAGTGGTTCTCCAATTTATTTCATCGGTCCCCCTTCTTTGTGTCTGTCACAATTTAACCCCCCAACCCCACAAGTACATATATTGCCACCCAGCTCTGAAGGCAGAGTGGAGAGCAGTGGCTGCTGGCCAGGTGCCCAGGTCTGAAGGCAGCGCCACCGCCAGCAGCAGCCCAAAAGTAAGGGTGGCCATGTGAAAAGTGATTTTTGCCAATACTACTGTTCACAGCAGACTTATGACCGCATTGCCACCCTTACTTCTGGGCTGCTGCTCCACCTGGGATTGTGAGGGAGGAGGAGAGCCCGAGCCTGGGTAGCAGGGCTCCGTCTGTCCCCTTTATCCCCACCTCCCAGATGTGCACGGCCCTTCGTGCACCCCAGCAGCCCGGGGTTGCTAGCCAGTGCTCTCTTTTTTTTAAAAAAACCCACACAGGTCACCCTCCCTTGACACATTCCTGTGACTCCCTTGGGAGACGTGCCCCATAGTTGGAGAACCGCTAGTGTAGATAATCATAGTGGGGACTGGCAGCCAAGATGGTAACACCTGCTCCTTTTTGTCCCTGGGATCCCCAGAGAAAATGTCCAAGCAGGAGAGCGAAGCAGATCCCATTAACATTAACCTTGCAAAACACATTTTGGTGATTTCAGCTATAAACATTCCCTCCCATTTCCACAAACTTTCAGCCCCTGCCCCAGTGATTGCAATGGGACTGAACCAGAATTAGGCAGGTGGTGAAGTTGTGAGAACAGGGGCACTGGGCTGAAACAAGGCTCAGGGATCAGAATCACGATCACACAGTGGGTGAGTGTATCTCCTGCAAACAGACCTAGAGGCCAATGGTCTGATTCTCCCCTCACAACAACTTCACGCTGGTGTAGACAGGTCACATGACTCCAGTGGGATTACTCCTGCCTAGCACCAGGGTGAGGGAGAGGAGGATGAGCACAGGAGCCCAGTCAGACTGTTCCTGATTTGTACTGGGGTCAGGGAGGGAGGCACAATTTTTCAGTGAGTTTTATCTCTATGGGAAGTTTGAGGAGCCTGTGACAGGGCAGGGGTGAGGTTAGCTGGGTAACCTCACTGTGCATTTCCATCCCAGATCATGTCTGCATTGCTTTAACCTTTCACCTTACCTTGGCAGTTGGCAGCCATTTCATGCAACACAACAGAAACTTGGGGTGGGAGAAACTAAATTGTATTTTATTATTCCAAAGGACAAGCAAAAGACAGACTCCTTTCCCCACCCTCAGCCCAGCCCACAGCTCCACCCAACTCCCCCATGCACCAGCAACATTTACACACGGGGAGAAAAGTGCCGGGAAGCCGGGAGAGGCGCTCGGAGCCTGTCACAAAAGCAAACACCCCAAGAGCAGGGAATCCAAAGAGCTCAGGTTAGAGGGACGAGTGTGGGGTGAGCAGGGCACAGACAGTTGCTATCGTCCCCACACAGGACACAGTGGTAGATGGGGACGGGGTGACCAGCTGGGCTCCAGTGCTCCTCATCTCTCTCTGGCCTCCACAATAGGGATCTGCCTAGCTTCAAAACTGCCCAGGTCCCCTGACATCCCTGGCCTCCTTCTCATCTCGGCCCAACCTCGTCCTCTCAGCAATCAGGAGATGCTGCCCCCTCCCCACAACATTCCTCTTGGGAAGGATTCACAGCATTTTACAATTCAGGCACCGCTCGACCAGACACTCACAGGAGAATTCCTGTCTCTCTCTGGCTCTGATGCAGCGAGTTCTCAGCCTCAGCTGCCTGGCTCTCAAGAGCAAACCCAGCAGTTTCCCAGCTCCGTTTCTCCCCCACCCTCCCGATCTCCCACCCTCTACCCCTCCTGGCTACGTCTCACATCACTGCAGGGATCAGGCGGTAACTTCCTTCCCCATTTCAGTGTCTGGCTCTGGGAGTGTGAATCTAGCTCACACCCTCAGTGTTCGTGCTGAGAGATATTGATATTTGTCATTGTTCAAAGAAAAAAAATCAATTGACAAGGGGTAGAAAAAGGTTAAAAATTAATTGAAAAGGACTGTTCTTGCAAATAAACATTTGTTTCACGAAGCCCTCAATAAAGCTGAGCTACACCCTGGCAGACTAACCTAATATCCAAGTACGTGACCAAACAGCCTTCAGGAACAGAGAAAAACCCACAATACAGGGTATACTATAAAACATTTTCACATTCATAACATGAAATCCCAGAGAATCTGAAGACTCAAAATCCAGAAAATAAGTATACTTATTTTCTTCTAAAGAGGCTAAACCTGCTTTACTTCTCGCCTCATTATTTCGTCGTGTTACTTACAAAAGTTTTAACATCATGATAATAAACCAAAAACTCACAAACCAGCTTCCCATCTACAAATGATCTGGTCCAGCATAGACAAAAACTGGGAGCAATTTTACCAAGAGATGCAAACAGGGCTATAAGATTAGAAAGGTCAAAATGTGCCTTCAGATTCATTTGGATTCCCTTCCTGGTTTGTGACACTTCTTTCTCCAGCCCTCAGGGGTCTGACTTAGGATCATAGATTTCAAAACTGTGATTCCCAGGCATGGAGAGCCAGGGACATGGTGGTAAGTGACACCTTGGGAGGCGGACGGGTAAAATGGGGACAGGATAAAACTCTCCATTGCTGGGACAGAGGCTGCTGTGTGGAGAGTAGAGGGTGATGGTGCTGGGGAAAGGAGGGAATCCCTCGGACTCACCCCATCGCCCTGAAATAGCACAGAAGCTAAAACACCACATTTTACTGTCCCTGCTCCCACTTTTTTATCATCTAGTTAATTGTGGTGCATAAGGCAGAAAATGTACAAACACTAAACGCTTTTCAGCAGGGGCTGGAGTAATGTGAGACTATCTGGGAATGAGACAATCCGGCCCCACAGGGGGAACTCAGGGATTAACAATCACTCTGCTAATGGGAGGGAGTCAGAACACATAAGTGAGGCTTCGATTTTGTTACAGAAGTAACAAAAGTCACGGAATCTGTAACTCCAAGCCACAGGTGCCAGGGGCCCATGCAGCTCCCAACCAGGGCCCCCACAGCTGCCCAGCCACCCTGGGACCCCAGAACCCCAGTAGCAATGGGTGCTGCAGCCTTCTCCCTCCCCATTTTGTCATGGATATTTTTAGTACAAGTCATGGACAGGTCACGGGCTTCTGTGAATTTTTCTTTATTGCCCATCACCTGCCTGTGACTTGTACTAAAAATATTGATGACAAAATCTTAGCCTTACACATAAGATGCTCAGGGTGAGTTTACACTAGGAAATCTGGTGAAGGGTCACAGAGATGTGCTGACTAATCCCAGCCACATTTCCTACCATAGACAGTTGCTGCGGAGGCAGAGGTGGGATCTCCAGGCCTCCCACAAAAGGCCCTGTGGGAATCAGTCCCTCTCAGTGGCACTGTCTGAATGCAGAGGGGGCAGGGGCAGAGGGGGTGAGTGATGAGAGGCAGCAGCCCTCTACCTTTATTCTCTCCCTCGCCTCTTATCTCATGAGCCCCAAACACTCGATACCCCAGCACCCAGATCCTCCTGCTTCCCAGCTCCACCAGCCCCAACCATTCAATCCCCAGTTCCCTCCCCAAAACCCATCCTCCTGGTCCCTCGGTATTTGATCCCCCAGAACCCAGCGCCCTGGGGGATTTGGGGAGGGGAGGAGTTACCAACCCCCAGGGACATTCCCCCTGCAGGGAACAGCCCCAGGTAAGTGGGGGAGCCCAGCCCAGGGGCTGGTAGAAGATGGGGGGTGGGGACAGGGGTCTAGAATGAAGGTGGAGCCTGGCCCAAGTGTCCTTCTCCTCATTTCCATGACAAGGGGAACTCATCTGGGAAGGGAAGGGAAGGGAGAGGAGAGAACTTCAGCCAGGCAGAGGGAGCATCTGGAGGAGTTTCTCTCTCTTCCTTCCCCGACCTTTGGCCCATCAGCTCAGTAGCCAAGGCTGCAGCAGTGAGGAGGGGCTGATGGGGGCTTCTCCTCCTCTGCCTGGGGTTTGCTTAGACCAGGCAGAGCCAGAGGGTCACTGACCAGCTGATTCTCGGCTGCTGCTGTATCCTCGCCCCAGCAATGGGCAGCTGGATCCTTGGGAGCCAAACACCCCTGATGTGTGTGGGAATGAGGAAATGGGTTTGTCACCAGGGCCAGCCCTCGTCAGGGCACTCAGAGAATTTCCCTGCTCTGCGGAGGAGTCTTTGATGTCAGTTCCACTTGGAGCATTTTCCACACTGAGAATATTTCTTCCCTGTGTGGATTTGTGGATCCCTGATATTCCGGGAACACCAATGGAAGATTCCCCCACATTGAAGGTCTCTCTGTTGTGTCGATCACTGATGTGTGAAGTCAAATTGAATCTTTTCCTGCAGTCAAGCTATTCCTAGGGTCTCTCACCCTTGTGGATTTTCTGATGTTTGATGAACTCTGAGCTCTTATTGAAGCTTTCCCCACAGTCAAGGCATTTATAATGTGTCTCCCTCCTGTGTGGATTCTCCCATGTTGAGTAAGGTCTGAGCGCTGACTGAAAGTTTTCCCACAGTCCAGGCATTTCTGGGGTTTCTCTCCTGTGTGGGTTTTCTGATGTGTATTAAGGGTTGATTTCAAACTGAAACTTTTCCCACACTCGAGGCATTTATAGGGTCTTTCTCACATGTGAATTCGCCCATGTTTAATAAGGGATGAACTTTCCATAAAACTTTTCCCACACTCAAGGCATCCATAGGGTCTCTCTCCTGTGTGGGTTCTCTGATGTCTAGTAAGCTTTGAGTTAAGAATAAAACTTTTCCCACACTCAAGGCATTTAAAGGGTCTCTCTCCTGTATGAACTCTCTGGTGTATAGTAAGATGTGTCTTCTGAATAAAACTTTTCCCACACTCAAGGCATTTAAAGGGTCTCTCTCCTGTGTGGGTTCTCTGATGTGTAGTAAGCTTTGAGTTATAAATAAAAGTTTTCCCACACTCCAGGCATTTATAAGGTCTCTCTCCTGTGTGGGTCCGTTGATGTGTAGTAAGCTTTGAGTTATGAATAAAACTTTTCCCACACTCAAGGCATTTAAAGGGTCTATCTCCTGTGTGAACTCTCTGGTGTATAGTATGATGTGACTTCTGAATAAAACTTTTCCCACACTCAAGGCATTTATAAGGTCTCTCTCCTGTGTGGATTCTCCTATGTTTAATAAGGTATGAGCTCTGACCAAAAGTTTTCCCACAGTCCAAGCATTTATACGGTTTCTCTCCGGTGTGGGTTCTCTCATGTTTAATAAGGTCTGATCGCGCATTGAAAACTTTTTCACACTGAAGGCATTTATAGCGTGTCTCTCTTGTCTTCAGACATGGATGTCTAATAAAGTTTGAGTGCTGAATGAAACTTTTCCCACACTGAAGGCATTTATATGGTCTCTCTCCTGTGTGGATTTTCCTATGCTGAGTAAGGTGTGAGCGCTGACTGAAAGTTTTCCCACAGTCCAGGCATTTATGGGGTTTCTCTCCTGTGTGGGTTTTCTGATGTATATTAAGGGCTGATTTCAAATTGAAACTTTTTCCACACTCAAGGCATCCATAGGGTCTTTCCCCCATGTGGATTCTCCCATGTTGAATAAGGGATGAACATTTGCTAAAACTTTTCCCACACTCAAGGCATTTATAGGGTCTCTCTCCTGTGTGCAGTCTCTGGTGTATAAGAAGACACGGTTTCTTACTGAAGCTTTTCCCACAGTCTAAGCATTTATACGGCTTCTCTCCTGTGTGGGATCTGTGATGTGCCATAAGCGGTGATCTCTGACTAAATCTTTTTCCGCACTCCAGGCATTTATAGGATTTCTTTCCTATGTGCAGTCTCTGGTGCATAATAAAGTTTGACTTCTCACTGAAGCTTTTCCCACAGTCCACACATTTATAGAACTTCTCCCCTGTGTGGGTTCTCCAATGTTTAATAAGGCTTGCACTGAAATGGAAACTTTTCCCACAGTCAAAGCATTTGTAAGGTTTCTCTTCATTGTGACTTGTCTGCTGGACTGTGGTTTCCTTGGGATCCTTGCATCCTCCACCACGTTGAATGGATTCATCCAGTTTCTTCCCAGGATAGTTTCCCAGCTGCATTTCTGATCTTTGTCGATCTCCCCAGGCATTTCCCTGTTCCAAGCACTGGGAAAAAATCCCTTCAACTCTTCTCAAAACCAACTCCTGCGATTCCACTTTCCCAGGACCTTCCTCCTGCTGATTCTCCTCCTTGTTCTCACTCACTGTCCTATCACCTGCTAGGAGAGAGAGAATCCAGACAGGAGTCACTGCCTGTGCTGGGGGGAAAGGACAGAAAGGGGAATAGCAAAGAGGGAAAACACAACACAGTGACTGTGCGGGAGAAGGAGACACTGGATTCTGCCTCCACATCCCACCCAAACACTCCCAGGGAAGGAAAGTCAGGGAGGAAATTCCCGATAGCTAACAGGATGAGTCAGAAGCTGTGACTAATATTTGCCTTCATGATATGACACCTGCTGACTGCAGCCCTGACCTGGGTGAGACGGGGAAGAACTGAGGGCTCTCGCTCACAGCACATTTTGGGAGTCCCAGCTTTTTCCTTCACTCTCAAGATGGTTCAGTCTCAGTTTCCCTGACTCCTCACCTGTGCGGGTGCTTCTTGGGCTCTCCCTTTCCTCATCAGCCTGGAGATCCGGGACCCACAGCTCTTCCCCTCGTTCCAGCCGGGCGATCAGCTCAGGTTTGGGGATGAGGAATCCTGCGCAGGGGGTGAAATCAGGCAAGTTCAGGGCGCATGGAGCATTGGTAGAGTATTTGTCACAGGGAACATTCCCTGAGTTTAACCTGAGCCTACATGGGACTGTGGTAACTCAGACCCTTTGGGAGCAGCAGATATCTGGGGGTGGGGGTGGGCTGTTGTTACGCCCTCACTAGGAATTCTCAGGGTAGATGCGCTCTGGGGGACTTTCTGGCACACGCAGCTCTGGTGTTAAACTCCTGCCTATTTCCAAACCAGCACATAGGTGCTGGAACTAGCCGTGCTGGGGGAGCTGCCGCACCTCCTGGCTTGAAGTGGTTTCCATTATATCCAGGGTTTACAGTTTGGTTCAATGGCTCTCAGCACCCCCACTGTACAAACTGTGCCAGCACCCCTGAGCCTGCAGCACCGAGAACACTCCCAAGAGGGCCAGTGAGCGGTGTGTGAAGAAGAAATTTTATTAACATTTATTAAAATTTTATTAAAGTTAATGTTTAAAATTAAATATACACAAGTTAAGAGGGAAGGTACTGTAAGTCTGGGGTCAGGCTTGAGTTATGAGGGATTACAGGTATTGGTTACAAGGATCACGAGATACATACATAGCATATAACCAGCATAGACTCAGATTGGGGTGCGGGAGTTTTTAAAGCGTCAGTGGATAAGTGGGCTCGGGTACGCCACTCATGGAATGTATTAAGAGTCCAAGTCAGTATCAATGTAGCGAATAAGGACATGGGTGGGGGGCATCCCTTGGTTCGTCAGGGAAGAAAGTGGGTTATTTCCCTGGTCGGCGGTCTATAGTACTTAACCTGGTATCGACGGTGTCCCGTGATGTGTTCCATATAGATGTCTCTGGACCACCTGATGGTGTCGGACACCATGAGCTGTCTCATGAGCCGGGCGTAGCATCGATCGACTCCACATGCTCTCAGTACCGCCTTGTTGTGGGGGTCCCACGAGCCCAGGGCTCCCACGATCAGGGCGTGTATCTGGACCTCATAGCCCTGGGCTCTCAGGGTGTCGGCCAGCGGGGTGCACTTCAACGCCTTCCGTGCTCGGGCCTCATGGAAGGCTGGTGACCTGTTTTCAAATGGCACTGTCATGTCTACCATGAGGACCTTCTTCTTTTCTGCGTCCGTCACAGCGATGTCGGGTCGCAGTCGGCTGTCTGTCCCGGGGATGGCAGAGTTGATGGTGATATTCCCCAGGGATGGCAGGATGGCTTTCACCAGCTGGTTCTGGATGGCATTGTGACGGGCCACCAGGCTCCGGAGTGCTGTTTGCATCCACACAGGACGTGGGGTGGGTCTTTTTGGCGTAGCTGCACTTCCTGCAGAGCTTGTCCCGGTTGCCATGGCGGATGGCTCCGTTGAGGGGAACGCAGTTGAGTCGGGCCCGGTGGACGAACTGCCAGCCAGCGAACCTGGTGAAGCTGCCCCTGGGGAGGAAGTGGTTGCCAGCGTCCCACTTGCTGGACACCTCGAACACCTTGCCCTGGTCCAGCTTCCGCTTGAGGGTCTCGGCATAGTGGCAGCGGATGGCATCTTTCAGGGTCCTTTCCAGCATCGTTCTGGTGGTCGGGGTGATGATGGTGTGATCCGGGGTCTTTAAGCGTGGCACCAGAATTCCTCACACCACTTCCAGTGGCAGTCGATCCTCTTTTCTAGGCATCTTGAGGCGTTGCAGGCGCGGGACCAGAGAGAGGACAGGTCTCCCCCCTAAGGGCAATACCCTGCTTCTGGCCCCTTGAAAGCTGGAGAGATGGGGATGAATTAGCCTGTCCATTAGGTTTCTGTCTCCCCTGTTCCCTTGAATGGGGTATGGAGATGAAAGTATCTCTCACAGTGGAGATGTGGACTCTACCAGGAGTTCTCAACCTTTTTCTCTCTGAGGCCCCCCCAGCATAGTATAAAAATGCCACAGTCCACCTCTGCCAAACCATCTGTTTTTCTGCATATAAAATCCCAGGCCAGTGTTACGGGGTAGGGAGCAGGGCAATTACCCGGGGTCCCACGCCATGTGGGGCCCGACAAACCTAAGTTGCTCAGGCTTTAGCTTCAGCCCCATGCAGTGGGGCTTCCGCTTTGTGCCCTGGGCCCCAGCAAATCTAATGCCGGCCCTGCTTGGC